GATTAGTAAGTATATGACAGAGCAGATCAATGCAGGTAAATCCAGAAGAAACCATCTTTTTATTCTGAAACTGTATCCTACCCATGCCTTGAAGTAAGTACTAAGTGATGCATCAAGCTTTTCCTCCCTTGGATCAAAGAGGAGGAGCTCTGAGAGCAAAAGCACAGCAGTGGTAGTGGCAGGAGCTACTGTGGTCCGTTCGCTCTTGGGATTTGCCAGGTAAGAGCAGAGGATGGTGACAATCCAAACAAAAGCATACACAAAAATATAATGGAATCCTACTTAGTGATGGAAAGGAATGAACTGCTGATACACCTGGTGATACAGATGAATCTCACAGGTACACTGAACAAAAGAAGGCAGAATTTTATTTAAACAAACAAACAAACAAACAAACAAACGACGTTCTGGAGTGCCTGGGTGGCTCAGTCGTTAAGCGTCTGCCTTCATCTCAGGTCATGATCCTGGGGTCCTGGGATTGAGCCCTGCGTCAGGCTCCCTGCTCTGCAGGAAGCCTGCTTCTCCTTTTCCCACTCTCTCTGCTTGTGTTCCCTCTCTTGCTACCTCTGTCTTTCTCTCTCAAACAAATAAAATCTTTTTTAAAAAAATACATTCTGTGTGATTTTATCTGAAACTCTATAGAAAAGACAAGTCTAATACATAGTGACATAGATCAGTGCTTGTCTGAGGCCTGGGATGGTGGGGGGAATTGCTTGGGAAGGGGCACAAGGGAACCTTCTGGGGAGATGGGAATGTTCTATATTTTGACTGTGGTTACATGGGTATATACCTTTGTTGAAACTCATGGAAATGTACACTTTAAATGGATGTGTTTTATTGCATGTAAATTCTACCTCAAAAAGTTGACTTTAAAAAAATACATGGGGCTTCCATTTCCAGACAAGATGAGTAAGTGGATCCCACCCTATTCCTTCCACTTACTACAACCAAAAACTTGACAAAAATATATGAAGCAACAGCCAGACTCCTCTGATGGTGGAAAAAAAGGTGAACTGGCTAGATCACTTGGTTCTCAAGGGATGATATAGCTGGGAGTCCTCACAGGCTTTACTGCTTACTAGATCCCAGCCTGGGCACCAGAGAAGGCCAAACCCAAAACCGTCCCCAAAGCACAAAGTCCCAATGAAAGCCCACCTTCTGGGGTCCAAGGGCAGGGAGGGACAGCAATGAAAGATAGACCTTTTGACAATGGTTGCTCTTCTCCGGGCAAACACCATGAAATAAGCCACAGCCGTCCCTCTCCAGCAGGCTTTGGGGAGACTGTGGTGTGGAGCCTGTCCACCATCCCTGCTATGCACTACCATCTAGGTAGTCCTCTCTCTCCTTACCAGTGATGACTGTGATGTGGAGCTCTGTCAGTCAGCCCCACTCTGCACAAATGTGATCAGCGAGAATCCCTCTCCCATCCTCATGGAGTGTGTGACAGCAAGGTGGAAGCCTGTTGCTATCCTTGCACTGCACTAAGCAAAGGTAACAAAGAGGCAGCTGGAGTGAGTGGGGAGGATTACAGAGAAGAGAGAGCTGCAAAAAGAGATTGCTCCAATTTGTGTATGAAGTCCAGGTCACACCCACCCACAAGTGACCTATGTGTGAAACCCACCAGAATTAACATAGTAAAAGCTTTGAGAACAGAACTATGAAGTGGAATGCTGTACTGTTTCAGATTGGCTTCTGGGTAGCACACAGCGGGACAGACCAAAATAGTACTGATTTAAAACTAAACTGACATTCAAGCTCACGGACCACAAAAGTGAGCCATGATGTTCATTCTGAACTAGAACAAGTTGAATACATACTAATATAGTTTTAAAAAGGAACCAGTGACTCTTAATACCCAAAAAGTCCAGGATAAAATCAAATATTATGTGTCATACCAAAAGCCAGAAGAAGGCTGAACTGGAATGAGAAAGGACAATCAACAGATGGCTAACATCTGGTGCCTGGCTGGCTCAGTACAGTGAGTGACTCTTGATCTCAGGGCCATGAATTCGAGCCTCACATTGGGCATAGAGCTTACCTTAATTTAAAAAAAAAACAACCCTCCCCCCAAAAAACTGATGCTAACATCAAGATGGCACAGATGTTGGGATTATCTGAAAAGGATTTTAAAGTAGCAATCCCCAAAAAAGAAGAAGAAAGAAAGGAAGAAAAAGAAAAGCTTCAGCGAGCAACCATGAATAGTCCTGAAACAGAAAAATAGATAATTTCAGCAAAGAAAAATAAGATATAAAGAAAAACCAGGTGGAAATTCTAAACCTGAAAAATACAGTAACGACAAACTTACTGGGTGGGTACTGTGGCCCATCAGAGATGACAGAGGAAAAGCAGTGACCTTGAAGATAAACCACTAAAAATTCTACGACCTGAACAAAGAAACAACAAATGAACAAAATGAACAGAACTTCAGGGGTCTATGGGAAAATACCAAAATAGAAGTATGTCACTGGAATCCCACAAGAAGAAGAGAAGGAGTGCAGTGCAGAAAATATACTTAAATAATAGCTGAAAGCTTCCCAAATTTGGCAAAAGACATAAAAGCCATTGACTGGGTAGCTTTTGGGCAGACCATACCCCAAAACCAGAAGGCCATTGCTAACTCCTGGAATTCTGGAATGAGACCCTTACGTCCATGTGGGCTACTCTCCCTGGGCTTAAAAAGCCAGAGAAGCCAGAGAGCTCTCCCTGCTTGTGCTCTCTGTCTCTCAAATAGATAAATAAAATCTTTTAAAAAATAATATATATTTTAAAAAAAAAGTGTAACGTACACAAGTCAGGAAAACTAGAAGAAGAAAGAGAAAGCAGAAGTAATGGTAATGGCAATTTTCCAAAATTAATGATAGACACCAGACCACAAATTCAGGAAGTTCAGAAAATACCAAGCAGAGCAAATACCAAAAATCTACACCTAAGCATATCATATTCAAATTTACAGGAAAATAGGAATGCCTGGCTGGCTCAGTCAGAAGAGCATGCAACTCTTGGTCTCAGGGTCGTGAGTTGAAGCTCCATGTTGGGTGTAGAGATTACTAAATAAAGTAAATAAACTTAAAAAAAAAAAGAAAGAAAAGTCAAATTGCAGGAAAACAAAGACAAAGAGAAAATCTTGAAAGAAGCCAAAAGGGAACAAAACGCACCTTACCTATTGAGGAACAAGGATGAGAATTACATGAGACTTCTCATTAGAAACCATGCAAGCAAGAAGAGAGTGGAGTGAAATATTTAAAGCGTTGAAAGAAAAACACCAGCCTAGAATTCTGTATCCAGCAAAATTATCATTCAAAAGTGTAGGAGAAATAGTCTTAGACAAACAAAAACTGAAGGAATTTGTGGCCAGTAGACCTGCTTTGCAAGAAATATTAAAAGAAGTTCTTCACAGAGAAGTAAAATGATAATAGGTTGGAAACTCAGATTTATATAAATGAAGGTAAAATAAAATCTTTGTTGTTTGGGGGTGCCTGGCTGGCTCAGTCAATAGAGCATGTGACTCTTGATCTCAGGGTCCTGAGTTTAAGCCCCATGTTGGGCATGGAGCCTAATTTAAAAAAAAAAAACACAAAAAAAACTTTGTTGTTTGTACACCTACCTAATCTTATAGATAACTCTTAGGTCAAAGTAATGATAACAACAACAAACTGGGTGATTATAGCATATGGGTAAGTGAAGGAAGTGGCAGCAATGTTATAAGGGATGGGAGGGAGGGATTGGGGCTACTCTGTTACAAGACACTTGCACTAGGCAGGAAGTGGTATAGTGTTATTTGAAGTGTGCTTACATGCAGATAATCAAATCATTATGTTACATACCTGAAACTAATATGTCAATTATACGTCAATTTTTAAAAAGTGGACTTAGTTTAGTTGTAAGCATACATTGAACACTTTAGGGAAACCACTAACAATTTTTTTAAAGAAGTGATTGATATGCTAAAAGGAGAGAAAATGGAAACATATAAAATGAAAACTTGTCAGAGGGGAAGTTTTAAAAAAATCAAAGAACAAAGAAAAAGTGGAATGAATACAAAACAGTTACAGACATAGAAATTAAATGAATCCAATTATATCAATAATTACTTTTTTTTTTAAAGATTTTATTTATTTATTTGACAGAGCCACAGCGAGAGAGGGAACACAAGCAGGGGGAGTGGGAGAGGGAGAAGCAGGCTTCCTGCTGAGCCGGGAGCCCAGGATCATGACCTGAGCCGAAGGCAGGAGCTTACTGAGCCGCCCCGGTGCCCCTCAATAATTACTTGAAATGTGAATGGTCTAAATACACCAATTAAAGGATCAATTGAAATCCCTTGTCACAGTGGATGAAAACAAGAATGACATACTGTCTACAAGAAGCCCACTTTAACTATAAAGACACAGATAGATACGAAGTGAAGGGCTGGAGAAGGATATACCATTGATAATCAAAGTAAAGCTGGAGTAGCTCCATTGATTACAGACAAAGCAGATTTCAGAACAAGGAAAATTATCAGGGGTTAAGAGGGGCATCACATAATAATAAAGGATGAAAATGAAAATCCTTAATTTGTAGGTGCTTAACAGCAGAGTGACAAAATATGCAAGGCAAAGACTGCTAGAACTGCAAGGAGAAATAGATGAATTCACTATTACCAACACCTCTCAATCAGTGATTCACAGATCCAGCAGGCAGAAAATCAGTAAGGATAGAGCTGAACTGAATAGCACCAAAGATCAATTAGATCTAATGGACATTTATGGAATACTTGACAGCAGCAGAATAGACATTCTTAGAAAGCTCATGTGGAGCACATTCTGGGCCATAAAACACACCTGAGCAAATCTGAAAGAATGGAAATCAAACAAGGTTTGCTCTTAGACCACAGTGGAAATCAGTAACAGAAAGATAGCTGGAAAATCTCAACATATTTGGAGATTAAGCAACATACTTTTAAATCATGCATGGATCAAAAAAGAAGTCTCAAGAAATTTACAAATATTTTGAGTTAAATGAATATGAAATACAACATATTAAAATGTATCTATCATATATATATATATCAGAAAAGAAGGTCTGAAAGCAATAATCTAAGTTTCCACCTTAAGAAACTAGAGGTGTCCATCAACTGATGGATGGCTAAAGAAGATGTTGTATATACATATACAATAGACTATTACTCGGCGATCAAAAAGAATAAAATCTGGCCATTTGCAACAACATGGATGGAACTAGAGGATATTATGCTAAGCAAAAATAAGAATTAGTCAGAGAAAGACAAATATGATCTTACTCATACGTGGAGTTTAAGAAACAAAATGGATGAACATAGGGGAATGGAAGATAAAATAAAATAGGATAAAAACAGCATGGGAGGCAAACAATAAGAGACTCTTAACTATGGAGAACAAACTGAGGGTTGCTGGAGGGCAGGTGGGCAGGGGATGGGCTAAATGGGGGGATGGGCATTAAGAAGGGCACTTGTGATGAACACTGGGTATTATATATAAGTGATGAATCACTAAATTCTACTCTGGAAACCAATACAACACTATATGTTAACTAACTTGAATTTAAATAAAAAATAAATAAAATAGAGATGGAAGAGTAATATAAGCAGAAGAAAAGAAGAAATAAAAAATTAAATCAGAAATCAATGAAATTGAAAACAGGAGATCAGTAGAGATCCACAAAACCAAAACTTGTTCTTTGGGGGAAACAATCATTAAAATTCATAAGCCTCCCAAGCTAACCAAGAAAAAAAAGAAAACACAAATTACAAATATCGTACATGGAGGAGGGGTCGTTGAAAGGATAACAAAGGAATATTATGAACAGCTTTATGCCCATAAATTTGTTAACTTAGATGAAGTGGGCCAATTCCTTGAAAGACACAAACAACCAAAACTCACAAAAGGAGAAATAGATAATTTGAATAGGCCTATATTTATTAAAGAAATAGAGAAAAACCAGATTAAGACATTTATAAGAAAGGAATATTACAGACCAGTATCTTTCATGAACGTAGATGCGAAAATACTCAAAAAATATTAGAAAATCAAATCCAACAATGTATAAAAAGACTTATACACATGACCAAATAAGACTTCTTCTAGGTATGGAAATCTGATTCAACTTTCAAAAACCAGTTAATGTAATCCATCATATTAACAGGCTGAAGGAGAAAAATCATGATCATATCAGTAGATGCAGAAAAACCATTTGACAAAATCCAACACTCATTCACGATAAAAATTCTCAACAACTTAGGAATAATAGGAACATTCTCAAACTTACTGATAAAGGGTGTTCACCATAATCCTATGGTTAGCATCATACTCAATGGAGAGACACTGGATACTTTCCCCCTTAAATTAGGGACATGCGAAGATACCCCCTCTTACTGCTCCTATTCAACATTGGACTGGAAGTCCTAGCTAATGCGATAAGAAAAGGAAAGATATACATGTTGGGGCAGGGATAAATAAAGCTATCTTTGCATAGAGGACATGACTGTCTATGTATAAAATCCCAAAGACTTGACCAAAAAAACTCTGGGAACTAGTAAGTGATTATAGGAAGGTCACAGGATATAAAGTTAGTATGTAAAAATCAATTGCTTTCCATTGCCAGCAATGAATAGTTGGAAACACAACACCATTTACATTAGAAGCAAAAATAACGAAATATGGAGGCATAAGTCCAACAAAATAGGTATAGGCTTTATATGAAGAAAATTATAAAACTCCAATGAAAAGAATCAAAGAAGATATAAATAAATGGAGAGAGAGTTCATGTGCGTGGATAGGAAGACTAAATATTTTTAAGATATCAATTCTCCCGAATTCCACTATAAATTCAACATAATCCCAATCAAAACCCAGCAAGTTTTTTTTAATATTAACAAATTGACTTTATAAATGAAAAGGCAAAAGGCCCAGAATGGCCAACACAATGCTGAAGAAGAATGAAGTCAGAGGATTCACACTACCTGACTTTAAGACTTACTATAGATCTACAGTATTCAAGACAGTGTGGCATTGGTGGAAGAATACACAGGTTGATCAGTGGAACAGAATAAAGAGCCCAGAAATGGACCCACACAAATGTAGTCAACTGATCTTTGACAAAAGAGCAAAGACAATTCAACAGAGAAAGGATAATCTTTTCAACAAATGGTGCTAGAACAATTGGGCATCCATTTATAAAACAGTGCAGCTAGATTCAGCCCTTATACTTGTTACAAAAGTAAACTCAAAATGGATCTTAGATTTAAATGTAAAACATAGGGGTGCCTGGGTGGCTCAGTCGTTAAGCGTCTGCCTTCGCCTCAGGTCATGATCCCAGGTCCTGGGATCGAGCTCCGCATCGGGCTCCCTGCTCTGCGGGAAGCCTGCTTCTCCCTCTCCTACTCCCCCTGCTCGTGTTCCCTCTCTCACTGTCTCTCTCTCTCTCTCTGTCAAATAAATAAGTAAAATCTTTAAAAATAAACAAATAAATGTAAAACGTAAAACTATAAAACTTGTAGAAGCTAACATAAGAGCAAATCTGAGTGACCTTGGGTTTGGCAATGAATTTTTTAATTTGACACTAAGAGCACAATCCATAGAAGGAAAAAATGATTCCATTGGACTTTATTAAAAGTAAAAACTTCAGCTTTGTGAAAAAATATTAGATTGAAAAGATAAGCCACTTCTCCAGACTGAGGATATTTGCAAAACATATCTGATAAAGGACTGGTATCCCCAAATATACAAAGAGTATTTAGAAATCAACAATAAGAAAACAAACAACCTAATTCAAAAGTGGGCAAAAGATCTGGACACCTCACCAAAGAAAATATACAGGTTGCAAATAAGCATATCAAAGATCCTCAACATCATATGTCATTAGGGGATGGCAAATTAAAATGAGATATCATTCCATACCTTTCCGAATGGCTAATATCCACAAAACTGATAATACCAAACAGTGGCAAGGATAAAAAGCAACAGAAATTCTCATTCATTGCTGATGAGAATGCGAAATAGTACAGCCACGTGGGAAGACAATTTGGTAGTTTTTACAAAAGTAAACATTCTTACCATGCAATCCAGCAATTGCGCTCCTATGTACCCACTTGCATTGAAAAGTTACATTTAGGGGCACTTGGGTGGCTCGGGGGGGTTAAGTGTCCAACTTTTGATTTTGGCTCAGGTCATGATCTCAGGGTCGTGAGATCGAGCCCAGTGTCAGGCCCTGTGCTCCGTACGGAGTCTGCTCAGGATTCCCTGTCTCCCTCTCCCTCTGCCCCTCCCTCTGCGCGAGTGTGCGCGCGCTCTCTCTCTCAAATAATAAATAAAATCTTACAAAAAGAAAAGTTACATCTACATGAAAAACATGTGAATCTTTATACGAGCCTTATTCATAATCTCTAAAACCTGGAAACAACCAAAATGTTCTTCAATCGGTGAGTGGGTACACAAACATCGCTATATCCAGACAATGGAGTATTATTCAGCCATGAAAAGAAATGAGATATCAAGCCACAAAAAGACGTGGAAGATCCCTCAATGCCAGTGAGCTTGGGGGGACAGTTATGTAGGTCACCGGAGGGCTGGAAATGGAGGTACTGAAGCCTCAGCAACCAGGCCATTCAACCTTGGTAAACATTCTTTTTGAGGACCTGCCTACATTGTTACAGATGCTCTCCTGGACTATGATGAAACCCGAGTATAAAACACTCGATGGCATAGCAAGAACTCAGCCTCTTTCTCTGCCCTGGAAGGAGCTACCTCCTCAGAGAAAGTAGCAACGACTGTGAGGTCCCACAGAGAAGCTGAAGGACACGGAGAAGCTGGGCCACCACCTGCCACGTCTGCTCTTGCCCCGTGGCCACCTTGCTCCCATGAGATCTACCCCTGGCTAACTCGATGTGACATGGGGGGTGTACGTTTGACTATTCTCTTCCAGGCAGTCTAGTGTCCCCATGGCCCCGCAGCAGGTCAGGGAGGCGTCAGATTTAAAGTGGGAAGGGAGCAGAGGTTCCAAGTAGGGGATGAGGCTGCTTTCCAACCAAGCTCTTGTAGCGCAGCCCGCCGGAAAGGAGACGGCTGAGTGACAGGATTGAGAGATGTCGCCTGGGGCCCCAGCCTGGGGCGGAGGGGCCTCTGCAACAGCTGCACACTAGGAAGGCCTTTCTTACAGGCTGGAAACAGGGTGGCCGCGGGGGCAACCACAAGGCACCTCCAATGACAGAGGTTACCGGGAGCTGGGGGCGGGCAGAGCCCTGGAGCTGAGGGGCCGCTACGGAGCCGTCACGGCCTAAGGACAGCCAGGCAGCTGGGGCAGGAGGTGGGCCTGGCCCAGCACTAGCTTCGGTTTGACTCCCAAAGAGGTGCCCAGGGTTAGAGCTAGGCATGCCTTTGTCGCATGCTTCTGTCCCTGCGGCTGACATCTCTATCGTCCGGGCTGAGGGAAGCTGGGGAAAGATGCCCCATCCCATCTGAAGCCCAGAGAGGGGGTGACTTCCCTAAGACACACAGCATGTTATAACGGAGTTAGACCCAGGACTCAGAAGCCATGGCTCCCTGTTCTGGACTGCCTCCCTCCCTCCCTCCTTCACCCCTTCGTGGGGATGCCCAGTGGTTAAACCATGTTATGATCATGGAAACAACACCATGAGATGAGCACAGTGGAGGACTGAGGGCGGAGCAGAGGGAGGTCTGCCCCGTGCAAGCAATGAGGGCAGTGGCGTCTGCACGGAGTTTAAAAGCAATAATGAAACCTCTAAAAGTCGGTCTGCTTTTTATTATCACTCTGCACTGGCAGTTCTCACCGAAGATGGCAATGAAATTACTCCTCCCAGTCAAAATCTTTCAGCAGTCCACGTTCTAAACAATCACTGCGGTTACCGTTAGGCTTCATATGAGATTAGCACGTTGTAAGACAACATTAACTATGATAAACACTGGGTTCGACGTGGAAGTTAGTCCAGAAAACTTCATTGTACGCTTGGCTCCCAACACACCCAGACTCAACTACTACAAGTTTGGTAACCGTTTGGAAGGGTTAAACTCAACTTCGGCCACTGGTGCTCCATCCGGTGCTCCCCATACCCCTGTATTTAACAGCAGGTGCGGGACAAGCAGCTCCCGCTGGGTGACCTCCCCCCCCGCCCCCCCGCCGAGAGCCAGAAGCTGGGCTTGAGGAGCCTCACGCCAGCTTATGTGCATCACACTCTGAACATCCTGGGTGTGCTCTTCTGCAAGTGTTTCTTAATGTGCTCTTTTTCCTTTTTACAATAATAATAATAATGTGACTTAAAAGTATTAATTCATTACTGTTTCCTTTTCCTATTTACAAAAGTATAATTTTGTATTAGTTTGTTAGTTTTCACTGCCACGATTATATATGTGTGTGTAGTTCAATAAAAAAACGTTCACTATCTGCTTTTCTTTTCTGCCCATTATCCTTATTATTCATTTTATTTTGGATTATTCATGTTAGTAGTTATGCTGCTTAGGGAGGGGAGGGAGGGAATAGCTGCTGGGTGCAGGCTCTGTACCAGGTTGTGCTCAGCCCTGATCTCCCCCGAAACTTGATGTTGACCCCAGGAGATGGGCTTTTGTAGCCCATTTTACAGGTGAGGACACCAAGGCTCAGCGACGGGGAAAATGAACCCAGGCTTACACAGTTAATAAGTGGCAGAAGGAGGATTCAAGGTCGGCCTGACTGCAAAGTGCATGTTTGAAATGCCAGTGAATATTGGGACCCTGCAAGGAGCAACTCACAGGGCCGTGGGCCGTAGCGGTCAGGGAGAGCTTCTCAGAGGAGGGGGTGCTGGGGAAAGATGCACACAGGGGAGGGCAGTGAAGCAGGAGGATATGTGAGGTGTCAGGGAATGGCGAGTTTCCAGCCTGAGCTCTGTCACTCCCTGGCTGTATGGCCTTGGACAAGTCCCATCTCTGCTAAGGCCATGGTGTTTTCTCTCTCTAGAGTTTTCTTTCTTTCTTTTTTTTTTTTTAAGATTTTATTTATTTATTTGAGAGAGCAAGAGAGCACAGAGGGAGAGTGAGAGAGAGAAGCAGACTCCCCGCTGACAGAGAGCCTGATGCGGGGCTCGATCCCAGGACCCTGAGATCATGACCTGAGCTGAAGGCAGATGCTTAACCAACTGAGCTACCCAGGTGCCCCTCTCTCTGGAATTTTCAAAGGCCCAGGGTTCCACATATCGGGACGAAGACAGCGGTCTGGGCAGTGAGCTTGGCTGGTGAGTGAGTCTGACTTTTCTCTGCTCCATGTCTAAGAAGTGGACCCCAAGGTCCCCTGGCCCAGCCCAGCTACACTCTTGGAGGTCCATGTGGCATGATGGTTAAGAACATAGGCCTGGGTACTGGACAGGCCTGACTTTGAGTCCCAGATCCACCATCTCCTTCCCCAATGAGTGACCTGGGACAAGTCCCTTCTTGTCTCTGATCTCAGGGTCCTAAACCACAAAGTAGGATCATCCTATTGACCTCCAAGGGTAGTTGCGAGAATTAAAACAGCAATAACTGATATGTATTGGGCTATCCTTATATGCCAACGCTGTCCTAAGAGTATTATACTGATTTGTTCATTAAAGCTTCCCAACACTTCCGTAAAGCTATTCTTTTCGTTCGCAGACGGGGCAACACAGAAACAGAGTGCTGATGTTACTTGCCCGAGGTCCTAACTCTGTTCTGCTTAGCTTGGTGCCGGTCCCGCAGGAAATGGTAACTCCTCCCGATCTAGTTCTGAAACACTGGCCCCACGTGGGCATCTTAACGTTTCTGGAATGAGGATGTGCCCCACAATTGATGTCCAAGAAACAGGCCAGTCAGCGGGCAGAGGGTGATTAGGTGTCCTCACTGTCTGCTATCTGGCTTCTCAGGTGGCTGCAGTCGAGCCTGATGGAATTTTACCAGACCAGATCCCTAATTATCACTTAGAAAGACTTCTAAAATGACGCCACATGGAAACATAAGGCTAAGTGTACAGAAGGCCATCGCCAGCCAGGCAATGCAATTAGAAGTACAAATTGCCAAATTCATCCAAAGAAAGTTTAGACTCTGAATGTGAAGAACTTTGATCAAATCCCCAAAGGAGACAATCTTATATATAAAAAAAAGCTGTTATTTAACTGGATATAATATTTTCCTTTAAAAAATTATCTTACTATTGATGGTGTCGTAGAATCAAGTAAATCCAGCAAAACAGTCACTATTCTTCCGGTTGTAAGCAACAGAAAACCCACTTCAAACCAGCTGTAAGTGACAAAGGTGTGTATTGGCTCCTGGACCTGAAAAGCCGAGGGCGGTTGGCTTCAGGCACAGCTGGACTGGAGAGATTGAGCTACATCAGCAGCCGGATCTCTCCGCCCCCAAGCTCTGCCTTCTCTGTCACAGCTCCATTCCCAGCGGAGGCAGGATGGCTGCCAGCCAAGTCCAGCCGCCAACCCTCCCAGGTTTTATGCTTCCAGATTTCTCAGCATTTGAGACAGATCCTGAACCTGACTGCTGTGGACTGGAATTGGGTCACATGACTACCCTGGACAGCTCAGGGAATGGAATGCAGGCATTTCCCTGTCTGGTCACCTTCCTCCCCATGGAGTCAAGGATGGAGTCAGTTCCACTCACTGCACCTGGCTGAGGTGGAGGAGGGAGGCTTCCCCCCAAGGAAACGAAGGGGAAGTGGATGCTGGGTGACCCCCAAGTAGCAGCCGTACTTGGAAGACTGTAATTGCTGGTGATTGGAAGGTTCAGAGAGGTGACTCCTACGGGATCATCCACCTGACAGGTCAGGGGATCCCAGAAAGAAAAAGCACCACTGCTGGACCACCTGTCAGAGCGAGAAGAGTCCTTGGAGGTCCCTGGTGTGGCAGGAATGGGAAGCTAGAGGCCCAGAGAGGGGGAATGACTGGTTCAACCTATAGGTGGGAATGAAACCAGAACACGAATCTCTTGTACCTTGGTTCTCCATCCAGTGCTCCCAACTGGCCTGTGAGGGCCAAAGTGGGCTCTGGAAGGGGGCCTCCAGCTGCTTCATTACTCTTGAATGAGAAGCCTCTCCACTTCTCCTGGGACTTTCTCCCAGCAGCCTCGGTGGAGTGTCTTTGACCAGTCTCCCGACACCTGCTCTCTGGTCCCCACTGCACTGGGGTCTCCCCGTCTGCCTCAGAGGGAAGGGAGACGGGTGAGAAGTGCCCTAGATTCCCACAGGCATTCCCAGTCGTGGATGGCATCCATCTAAGGCCTTGATCTTACATAACATGCAGTAAGCGCAGCCCCAGGTTGGTCCCTCTACCAGCTCCAGCTGCCCCATTCTTTCTGGAGATTCCGGAGCCACCACCCTCCAGCCAGGCTGGGCCTGTCCGGCTTTTCCGTGGCCCTGGGCTCCAAATCTTCACTGGATCCGATTCTAAGAAACGTGCAGTGTCTCCACATCCTTGTGTTCAAAGCAGGAAACCTGTAGAGCCTGAACCTACGAGCCAGGCTGTCTGCGAACTTCTCTGTGGGAGGGGCTTGGGTGCTGCAATCTGATTGGATGCAGGAGGGGGCCTGTCTTTATGCTCAGTGTGCATAAGCACATTTTATCTAGAGGGTGCGATTTGGCTGGGAGAAGGGCCTCTGATGGAGATTAGGAGGGGTTTAAGCACCCATCGGTCCACCGCATTGTCATCATCAATTTAAATTAGAGGAAGCCTACTTAACTCAAAGACCGGGCTCCAGGGGTCGGAATCCAGGCCCCTGAGCTGGTGGGGAAGATGGGGTGGGGCGGGGCGCACGGACACGATCTTCCCAGCATGGCAGGACTTTACACGGGGATAACCGTGGGCTGTATTTATGACATAGAAAGCTGTCTGGAGCCAGATCGCCTAGGATCAACTCTCGCTTTCACTTCTTCCTTACCTTGGGCATTTTACCTAAACTCTGTGCCTCCATTGCTTCATCTGTAAAATAGGGCTAAATAATAGGGCGAGGTGAGGATCCCAGTAGATAAGCCACGGAAGGCGGTGACGCAGGTCCCGGCAGACAGGGCCCCAACGGTGGCCGCCGTTAATCTCGTTGGTCCCCGGCGCAGGGGCCTCGTTCGCACAGTGCTGGTGGCGGGGCGGGCCGCACCCTGCCTCCGGAACCGCGCTCCCCGCTGCTGCAGGCTGCCCATTGTTGCGCCTTCCTGCTCTGGCCCGCCTGGGAATCCGCCGGGGCAGCTCCGGCCCAGGCGGGGAGGGCATCCGGGCCGCCGGCGCCCTCCCCCACCGTTCTGGGCGCCCCGCCCCGCCCCTCCCGCCGCGAGGGCCCGCCCGGGGACGCGAGCACTGGACTGCGAGTCCTGGGACCTCAGTCCTACTCGGCCCAGTGTCCTCTCTGGCCACACGGAAGCCAGCGGAGAAGCCCACCCCCTAGGGCCGCGTAAGGGTTAAGTGAGATCACGCGCGCACCAGGCCGAGCTCCCCACCTTGAGCCCGTCTGTCCTCAGGTCCTGTCTTGCTCGGGTGGGCTTTCAGAATGCTGCTCGCCGCCGGGGGCCCACGGGGGACCCATGCATCCCCTGGTGTCTGGGCCTGGTTGGATTTCTCAGATCATGCTGCCTCCGCTACCCCGCGCAACGTTTCCCCAGCACAAGGCAAAAAGTGGGTGAAAGGGCTGGGCAGCTTTCCCAGGCTGGCAGCCGCCAGAGCCAGGATCGAGAGTCCTTGCATCCCGGCTCTGCTGCTGAACGGCTTTGTGACCTTGAACAAGGCCTTCCTCCTCTGAGCCCCCAGCCTCCCTCCTCCAGTGGCAGGGAAGGCAGGTGTGGCGCCTTGCTCTGGCTGCCCCCTGGCTGGCTGGCTGGGGTACCATGGAAGGTGTGTGATCCCCTGGGCTCAGTTTATCTTATCTGCAAAACTGTTACCCCCCGCGTAGATTCAGCAGATAACGCCTGGTCTCGGGAGGCTTCTTTCTTGTCTTTCTGCCACCCTCTGCCCCATTTCTCTGCTCCAAAGGGAAGTATGCCACCTGGGCTGGTTACTTGAGTCTTCCAAGGAGGAATTCAGCCTCAGCATTGTCCCGCCGCACTGGGCAAGACCAGGACCCGCTTTTGATACGGGTTCTCTCCACCTCCATCCTGGGAAAGAGAGACCTTTGCAGCCGTAGGTTGGCTTTGAGTGCCCCTGGTGCAGGAGTGAGCCTCCTGTCAACAGAGGGAGTTTACTCAAGATTTAAGGAGTGGAAAGGAATTGGGGCTTACAAAACCTAGCCCTATTCTTAGAGTCCCACACTCTGCCCTCCAGGCATGTGGCAGGATGACACTTCTCTGTCCCTTTGAGATTGGGCGGGGTCATGTGACCAGCCATGGCCAAGGAAGTGTGCGAAGTGATATCTGTCACCTCAGGTGGGAGCACTATTACCAGGTGGAGACCCTCTCCTTCCGCCGTGAGGTGGCAGCCGCTCCATGGCCCTGGGCCCCGGAGGGAGAAAGGGTGGACAGCCCTCCAGCCCTGTAGGGACGGGCCACTTGCCTGAGAAATGACTTCGTGTCAGGAGCCACCAGGATTGGGGATCGTTTGTTACTGCAGCGTGACCCAGCCGCCCTTTGACTTAGTACACACCTCCAGAAAGCAAAACCGGGCTGGAGGTGAGTGGCGGTGTGCAGGACGTCTGTCTCTGAAGACCTGTTTCGTGTTCTTTCATGAGACGGTCAGTCTGGGGCTGCCGCAGAGGAGCGTTGGTTTAAGTCATCTCTACACCCAGGGTGGGCCTCGAAGTCACCACCCCGAGATCAAGAGTCACATGGTCTACTGACTGAGCCAGCCAGGTGCCCAGAGGGGAGTTTCTTATACTCAAGGGTCCTAGAGACCCTTTCCTCATGGAAAAACACTGGGCTGGTTGGGAGGCAGAAGATGGGGGGGGGGTGCTTGGGCCATGGCCTTTATTGGGGTTTCCACGGGAAAGGCAAGACAGGGTAAGGTGGGCAGTTTGGGATGGGCTAGTTTGAATGATTTTGGTGGGCTCTGCGCTCTACGGGTGGTCTCTAGTTGCCTGATAACTGGCCCTGGGTTGATTAAGGAGAGGAATATTGCTTCCTGGGGCTCACGGGCCTGATAGAGGATCCAGGGCTCACGGGCCCTGGATCTAGAATACCAAATGCCCAAACCAACAGTCTGTGGTGCCTCGGGACCAGCAGGGCCCCGGGCGATGCTGGGTTGGCCCTTTGTTGGATCTTAGCACATTTGACCTGAGCGGCTGAGACTGCTTGTTGCCCACCCAATATCTACGTTCCCCTGGTTCCTTCATAACAGAACCCCAATATTACCTGGCAGCCCAACCAACAGACTGCATTTCCCAGATCCCCACGCAGCTGTGTGGCTATGCAATTAAATCTTTGCCACCTGACTAAGTAGGTGGGCTTCCTGTAGGAGGCTGACTCAGCTGGAGATATGGTGTATGTTCTGCTCCCTCCTTCCTGCTGTCTGGACGGTAGCTGTCATGTCTGCAGGGCCCACAGCCATCTTGGGTGGTGTAGGGGGGTACACAGTGAGTGTGAAAACTCTGAGCAGTGGGAAGACGTCGCATATAATGGATGCCTCATAAAGTATCCTATAATAAATGAACTCTCCACGAGGATGTGCCATGGGTCTCATGTGGTTTTGTGCCCAGCCAGAGAAGCCCTGCAGTATCAGCTAAGTTGCAGGGACCCTGAAAGCGGGTGTCTCTGGGTAGGTTGAGGGGACTCGACATTTTCTCCAGCCACAAAGGAGAGCAACTAGACACGTGGGGAAGCAGGGCTCTGAACATACATTCTAGGGCTTTCTTCACTTTCACTCTGCCCCAGTCCCATGGAACCCACGTACCCCCACCCTACAGCCTTCCCCGGGGCTACCTCTCTGCCAGGCAAATGTAATTAGAGGGAGGGGTTTTCCCGCCTGGCTTTCCATTCAGCCTTCGGAAGGGCGGCCAGGATGTGGGGCAGAGAGTGAGAGAAGCCCAGTGGGGAGAGACCACCGACTGCACTGTGAGCCAGACAGGCACCCCAACCACACTCGGGTTTCCCATCTATAAAATGGGGCAGTAACACCGGCCCTACTCCCCTCTCAGGGTGCCGAGGGCTTATCCTCCTCTGAGCAAGGAGGCCTGCAGGAGGCAGGGGACAGGCAAGCTTGCAGTCTGGCTTTGTGGGCTCATCTCAGTCACCGGAAGCACAAAGCAATGACATAGGTCCTGGCGATCAGGTGGCCTGGCTCACGTGTCTGATGGACTTGGGCTCAATGGTGCAGCCCCCCACTCAGATGAGCCTGAGCTTTTTTTTTTTTTTTTTTTAAAGATTTTATTTATTTATTTGACAGGGAGAGACATAGCGAGAGAGGGAACACGAGCAGGGGGAGTGGAAGAGGAAGAAGCAGGCTCCTGGCTGAGCAGAGAGCCCGATGCAGGGCTCGATCCCAGGACCCCGGGATCATGACCTGAGCCGAAGGCAGACGCTTAACGTCTGAGCCACCCAGGCACCCCGAGCCTGAGCTTTTTCATTTGTAAACTGTAGCTAGGGATTGAAGCTGAAGGAGGTGAACCACTTAATGATGAGTGCTCAAGAACCGCTGGGTCTTCCCCGCCCCTGATCTGCGTGGGCCTCTGCCATTTTCATTGGCTGCCCCGTGTTCAAACCCCTTTCGCATGTCAGGTGAACACCCCCACCTAATGGGATGCTTCCAATAGAGGAGCCCCAATGTACCAGCATGCTTTGCAGTGAGGCTCTCCCAGTCACAGCTCCCTGCACAGACCTTTGAAGGAATCCATGACCCAAGGAGGAGGGGGCACCCAGCCCCATTCTGGTGGTGCCTACCTCCAGTTTTGGGAGTCATCAGGGACAGAGGTCGGCAGGGACTGACCAAGTCTGGGTGTCAGCCGGACAGGTTGCCATGTCAGTGTCCCACGCAGGGGCTGAAGCCAGGAGAACTCCCAGCTGGGTTCTCTGACTCGTAGAACCCATCGGCTCCCCAGGGCTGTTCAGTAAGTTCCTTTCCTGCTTGCGTAACCCACAGTCAGTTTCTGTTGACTGCAACCACAAACCCCAGCTGACTCCCCTCCCCAGACCCAAATGCAGACCCTCCCTTTCAGGCTGTTCTCTGAACCACTGACCTTCCCCTACCCCAAGTTGCTTGTGTGTTTAGTTGCTTTTTCTGTGCCCTTGGCCAAGAAGCTGGGCTTGAGTGACCAGCTTTTGCCAGGAAATTACAAAATTAGACCCAGGCCCAGAAGCAGGGTGGTACATTTACGACAGTACACGTTTGCAAGGGGAAAGCAAGCAGTTCTGGGTTCAAATCCCTGTCCTATGACTTAGCGCATGTGTGACCGTGGGCCCCCAGCATACCTCTGGGCCTCAGTTTCCTTTTCTATTACAACACTCCAGGAGTTGTTTTTTTTTTTCTTTCTTTTTTCTTTTTTTTTATTTTTAAAAGATTTTTTTTTAATTTATTTATTCATGAGAGACAGAGAGAGAGAGAGAGAGAGAGAGGCAGAGGGAGAAGCAGGCTCCCAAGGAGCAGGAAGCCCAATGCGGGACTCGATCCCAGGACTCTGAGATCATGACCTGAGCCGAAGGCAGACGCTTAACCATCTGAGCCACCCAGGCGCCCTCTTTTTTTTATTTTTAAAGATTTTATTTATTTATTTGACAGAGAGAGAGAGAGAACAAGTAGGCAGAGAGGCAGGCAGAGGGAGAGGGAGAAGCAGGCTCCCCCCCGAGCAGGGAGCCCGATGCAGGGCTCGATCCCAGGACCCTGGGATCATGACCTGAGCCGAAGGCAGCCGCTTAACCGACTGAGCCACCCAGGCGCCCCTCCAGCAGTTGTTTTTTGTTATGTTTTGGGGTTTCAAGGAGATCAGGGATGGGAAGCCGCATGCTGTGTGCCCCATACCCAGCACATTGTTGGCATTGGATTGAGAAGAAACTGGATCAGGAAGAAGGAACAAAGCAGTAATGCTCATGTAGTTTATGTCAGAATAGCCTGAGATGTACATCAAATGCAGATCCCCGGGCCCCTCTCCTAAAGTTGGATGTACCAAGGCTGAGGGGTCCCTGGGATCTGTATTTTTTTAATATTTTATTTTTTTAAGATTTTATTTATTTATTTGACAGAGACACAGTGAGAGAGGGAACACAAGTAGGGGGAGTGGGAGAGGGAGAAGCAGGCTTCCTACAGAGCAGGGAGCCCGATGCAGGGCTTGATCCCAGGACTCTGGGACCATGACCTGAGCTGAAGGCAGGCACTTAACAACTGAGCCACCCAGGTGCCCCAATATTTTATTTTTTAAAGTAATCTTTGTACCCAACGTGGGGCTCAAACTCACGACGCCAAGATTAAGAGTTGCTCCCTCTGACTGAGCCAGCCAGGTGACCCTCTGATCTGTATTTTTAACACGAATGCCCACTAGAGGTCTGTGCTGCAGATGGCTGGGACCACCGCTCTTGGAAAAATATAGGATCCAATGGGGAGCAGAATGGAGGTGGTGAGGGCCCAGATGGCTGGGTCGACACAGTAGTGGGGTGTGGGGTCCCCAACATTAGCTTCACCCTCGCTAGAAGCTTCTACAGTAACCATGTCGGGGACAGTCCAACCTGGATTTATGTTCCAGAAAGGATGCAGCTAATTTCTGTATGTTTGATCTTTGACCACATTTACAACAGTAATGGATACATTTTTTTCTCACTTGGATAAGGCAATAATCCAGTAACGTGGATATTGTAAGTCCAAATCTAGTTAGCACTTCCCATGAGCCAGGCATTATGCAAGTACTTT